ATAATTTGTACAATGGAGAAGGGGAGCTGGGATGGTACTTGGGCCTGAGTTTGATCTCAGAACAAGTGTCACATAGAGGTAAGAATTGGCCATTGGTTCTCATCCTTGCTCCAAGTGTTTTTCCTCTGGGTCTCCTGGTGTTCCTCCCTCCACAAAAACCAAAATTCAAAATTCCAATTCAAGCTGGAAACAGTGGACAAGAAGAGCCACCGTGTGGAAAGTCCATGAATAAATTCCCATTAAATTCCCAGTAGAGACTGCATATTTTATGTTCACTGAGCACACCTGTATCTGAACTTGGAGCCTAGCTTGATAAATCCCACATCTTTAGGTGGAAGATCAGCCTGTGACAGTCGGAAAAATGAATGGTGCTCAACTCCAACCTTCCAAAGTCGCTTTGTAGCTCTTAAGCTTCCCAGTTTAAAACTCAGCACTGTTGCTGCGTAGTAATCACTCTGTAAGAGACAAACAACCACAAAAGGCAAATAAAAATTCAGATCATTTCTGACTTTGGTTCAAAGTAACAAATAAAAAAAGAAAAAAGAAAAAAGAAACTTATCAGGTACATGTAAGAAGTTATCTTGATCTAATAGAAAAATCTCCTGACTAACATACTAGGTTAATGTGTAGCAGCTAGAGAGGAGTACTAACAATCAGACATTGAGAGTTAAAATGTTAAGAAAGCAATTGTGCACATCCTACAGAAGCTTCATTGGATATGGAGATAATACTAGTATTGTAAACTTTCTCTTGCACCGCATGTAAGAACTTGACTTGAATTATTTAAACTGCACCTATGCATATTTTGTCTGCACTTGTTACGTGTCTGCCTTCATTTCAAATTTTATTAGTCATGAGTCACACAACGCAGTCTGACGCTAATTGGAAACAGAATAATACATGGCAAACGAGTAAATATATACCTCACTAGCTGCCCTGATTGTTAGGGTAAACTTCTTCTTTTTGAAAGCAATTTTCACAATCTTTGGCCTGACATAAAAACAAAAGAGGAGATTGCACAAAAATGATAAATAGAGAAAGAATGAAAAGACACACCAGATCAATAAAAAAAGTAAAACAGAACAGACAAACATGTCACACCATATGGCAAACAGAGGCAGGTTCTTGTCAGAAGTGAAAATTTCTAATCTCAACTCTAACATTTCTACTTACCAAACAAACTTGTTAATCAGTCTGTTGTTGTGGAAGATATGAATGCCCCAAGCTGACACTCCAATAATTACTGGCTGCCCTTCAGCATCCTATGGCAAGTTAAACAGAAATACATAATAAAAATAAAGATCTTCCTTTTACAAGTAATCAAACACAAACTGATGATTTTATAGATAACAACACACGCACGCACTGATTAGAAAATGGATTTTGACCTAAACATCACCATGCAATGTTTTAGACTTTCCAATTTTTTCGTTTTTCTTGCATCACATGTAACCGTTCCTAAAGAGGAATTTGGCTTTTAGATGCTCAAAATGGCATCACCCATTCTTAGCCTGCCTTAACCCTTTAATTACTGAGAGTGATTACTAAGAGTGACTGTCTTTAAATTTCTCCCTAAAGTAGCACTCTTGAATCATATATATGGGTAAAGAGAATAAAGGAAAAGATCTCTCATTTAAGAAGCTCCTGATTGTTCAACAAATTCTCTTTCTCAATACCATAGGAAATTTAAGGAGAATAGTGTGAAGAATATGCACACTAATGTTACGGTGTAAAGGGTTAAGAACTGTTACAGAGGAAAGGCACATACTGCAGCCTGATGAAGGTCGATTCCATACAGGGGGAGTTTCCTTGCATTATCCAGATACTGCAATTCTGCATCCTCTGGTGTCATTCCTCTGCGGGACAAAAATAGACAATAACGTTTAACAGCCACTTTTGGATGTCTCCCAGGAGTGATCAGCATATAATTTCTCTACATAGTATCACTACTGACTTCAATATTTAGCATTTTAGCATCTAAGTAAGCTTTTGACTGTTAAACAAGCATTTCTTATTTGCATCATAGGAAATGTAAAGAGATCATTCTGCGGAATATTTAGTAAAACAATTTTTTTTTCTTTTAAGATGTGCAATATTTTATTTATTTGTGGACAGATAAATGTACTAAATAAAGTCTAGAACCAAGGTGCATTGTACTAGAAATCATTCTGTGAACAAAAAACATTGTTTTCAAAAATGTTAATAAAAAATTACATGCAACGGCCAGTAAAATATTTTCCAGCTTAGAGTAACTGTGTAAGCAGGTTCACTTGAAATCAGAGATCATACATTGTGTACAAGACATGAATACAGTACCTGTGTTTAGCGTGAAACTGGTGTACTTTCTGCAGCATCTCATCTGGCTAGAAAAACAATTCAAATCAACCCTTTAACTCACAAGAGTAATAAGCATGAAACTTCTACCTGTAATATCCATGCAATAACCAGCAAACAGGTAACAAGACTACTCAAAACAAGAAGTCATACCATTTTCTGACAGAAAGTTCAAAGTACAAATAACAAATAAATAAATAAAAAACAAACTTCTCCACTTGGTGAACAAGCACTAATCCCTGTTCGTAAATTTGATGGATGAATAATGATCTTAGCTAGTAACATTTTTTTCATCTTGTAGTGACAGTCAAACATTGGAAACTTCATTTAAGTAACTTTACCGGTACTCGTAATTTACATTGTTGATGTTATTGTTAATCCGGGATACCGATACCTTTTAGTGCCCGTCAACACATATGTCAGCGGACTCGTTCTGACGAGACGCCATTTTGTGAAGTATATGTAGCACGAGGTTTTGTAGATTAAAGCCTTTAGAAACGAGGCCAAACGTTTGTTTAACTATCATAACACATCTAACTACCTGTTTTGGGCAGAATTTGAACTCTGAGAGATACCCTGCACCATCCCCATGTTCATCATGATCATAGTCTCCAACTTCCGCTACAAAAGCAAGTATGAAATACTGATTGAGCTTTACAATTAATTCATTTGAATTCTTGAATGTGGACACTGAATAATAATATTAAATAAAAGGAGTGAAATATTCTTTCACAAACAAAATTTGTCTTTTCAAAAGCCAAAATGTTGATGCAACAAATTTGGAGTTTCAGGCAAAATCTTGAGGCTTAAAACATGAACAACTACAGTTTCAAAGAGAAATCAGGCCAAAGAGTATTTCATGCAAATTTCTAATCCAATGTAACTTTAGATCATGAAAAACACGTATGTGTTTGTCAATTTTGTCTTGTTTTGTTTTTTTTCTTTTGTGTTTTTCGAATGCCCATGATAAACAAAGTGGACTTAGTCTTGTGAGTGACATTCCAGGCAACCTTTTTCTGGTTAATAGTAAAACTTCAAACTTTAGGAATGTGCTAATGTTCTAAAGTGATATCATGGAGGGTTATTAACAATTGCAGCTCACCTTGCACAACAAATGATCCAAGAAGGGCATGAATAGGGATGGAACACTGTATTCTACAAGAAAAAAGAAGAATTAACATTTTGTGACTGATAAGTATAGCTCATTTCAAGTCACTTCTCTACTTCTGACAATCTATTTTAACTATTTTGCTTTTAATGATCAACTTCCTCCTAAAAATTTTCCTCACGCCCAACAGGAGTCTTTTTAGGTGGATGGTCATGCCCTACTTGTGTCTGGGAGAACTGGCTGAACACCTGTCCTTTCCAAACATTATTCAAAGTTCTTTTCTGCAGTTTCTTTACTTGCAATTAATTTGTGAGGATCAGTTTGTTTATAGTGCTCAGGTCAAAACATAATTTATCTAATTTTATAACTTATAGTTGTCTTAATTTTCAACACATGGAAAATTACACTTCATATAGTTTCTCTTTCTAAAACATTTCACACTGCATAAAAACTACTCACCTTCCTTTCAGAAGATCCTCTCTCAGTTGTAAAACCATTAAGTACCTAATTTAAATAAAACAAAATAGTAACGATAAGAAGGAAAAATGAACTTCAAGGATAAATAATAATAAATGATAAATAATAAATAATAAATAATAATAAATAATAAATGACAAAGATACGTTTCCACACCAGAATAACTTACAGCTTTGCTGTAAACTACATGAAGGTTAGTAATCAGACTTAACCACTAAAACTTAACTAATTCATACATTTTCGTTTTAGTCAAATATAAAAACTGATCTATCAAAAGTATTCAAAGCCTAATTCTCTTAAATTAAACATTCCATCTGATTATTCTACTGGCAGTCAAAAAATAAAGTGAAACGAGATAAAATTAAAAAATAAATAAATAAATAAGAAGTACATGTAACATTGCACAATATTATTTCTAGGTATTTGTAGTAAAGGAGATTCGATTAGCCCTTCATATCCCAGAAATAACTAACATGTAACTTCTCCCTAAGATATCCCCATATTTTCTAGCAAACAGTTAATGGGAATACAAAATATTTATCAGGAAGAAGTTTTTATCTTGATCTTAGACCAGTTAGTAACATCTTGTAGCTAATTTACTTGAGGAATCGTGTAGTAGCAAGAGGGGAGAAATAGCTATCTCTTCCACAGATCTTGAGAGTTCACAGGCTAATGTCTGATTTAAATGTAATTTATTTACCTGGTGATGTCTTCCACAAGGGCAGTTGGGTTTGGTGGATAAAACTTGACAGCAAAGTAGAAATGGTATGGCTCTAGGATATAACCACATGCATTATTTAAACACACTGTCAGAAAAGATTTATAACATAAATGTGACCCAGCATATGATTTCTGCAACAAAGGTGATAACACGCTCACAACACACATAGCGTGTCCAATAAGTTACACACTAGCGTGCTGTATCTGCTCACACACACTGTGCATGTTTGCCTGCTCATGCTTTACTGTTCAACGGCAAATGCTCTATTGTTTGTAGTGGGTTCTAAAAGCATATAAGCTGATTAAAGTGTGCTCTCACATGCTCAGCAAGCATGGTATACCCTGTTTCTTCTGTTTACAAGTGGAAGCATGTTGTGAGTGTGCCATCACCTTTGTCCCTAAAATCATAGGGGGGGTAACAAATTTAGTTACAAAGAGTAAAATGATACTGTACAAGCCTTACCATGTTTCAATTGTTTCTTAATTGGTCTGAGTGGATCAAGCCAGTTGTACTACAACCAAGAAAAGATTGTACTGGTTTAAATATCAATGGGTATAATTATTAATTCAAGTACATCAAGGGTAGAAGGGTAGAAGGTGTTAGAGATGATTCATACGTATAAATCTATGGTACAATCCAGGACTAGCAGCTGGCCAGCTAACTATTTTCTGTTTCACCCTATTTTACCACTATAAGTACTGATGAAAAGCGGTACAATTATTACAATATCATAAAGGAATAATGCAAAGTAGCCAATTCCCAGTTTTGAGTGCAATTGAATTCATAAATTGCCAGTAACAGGTTTTGATTCACAAATCAATGCTATATTTAGAATTTTTTCAATTAGGTTTCTGGGAACTTCATGAGATACATACTTAGGAAATTTTAAGTATGAGTTAGCAGTCTTGCATTTTAACCCATCTTCGATATCTATTTTTTTGATCTTGTCATCTATCTGTATGGAAATGCAATGACACTGTGATAAGAAATTTCTTTTGGCTCATTCCCAGGAGTAAAAGGGTTAAAAAAAACAAACAAAAAACAAAAAAACCATATAAAGTACCTGTCCATCTTTTTCATCAATGTACCGCAAACCAAAGTAGTCCTTCTCAGCAACTTCAATCTTCTCACAGATCTTGTCGAACAAAACTAGACCCTTTGCATTTTTCTAAAAAAATTAAACATTGAATTTTCAGTGCTGGACATTTTCGTCATATTTATTTCATCAACAATAACTGGTTGACAATGCTATAATTAAAAGCTGACAAGACAAGAAAGGGTAAAATTTTGTTTACAATATGGCAAGGTTAACCCTATGACCCTTTCCAGTGATAAGTATCTAATTTCTCGCCATGATATCACCCTTGAATCACACATTAAATTTGCGAGAAGAGAGGAAAATATCACCACCTTAAGAAGCTCTTGATCGTTAAACAATTTCTCTTTGTAAATGTGATCATGAAAGGCAAAACAGACACTATCGGTCATCTGTTCAAACGGGTAAAACGTTCATTACCTGTTCCTTATTCCTTCGAACGCCTCAAAAAAATCTGTTCAAAGCATTCAACAATCTGTTTGAATGGTTTGCAAATCCGATTGAAATACATTAGCATCCTTTCAAAGTATTGCGACATCTGTTCGAACAGTTTTTGCATCTGTTTGCAAACTAGAAGTGTCAGTGCAGAGAACTGCACCATCCATTCGAACGGTTTGACATCCCAGACCCTTCTATTCATCTGTTCAAAATGAGAAAATGCACTCATCGTTTCTCAACAGCAGTTGAAACATTGCAATCCACATCTATGTGACTAAATCGTACGACAACGATTAACTCAGCTCTCATTTTAAATTGATGAGAAATTGAAATAATCTCCTTTCTTGATTGTGAGAATAAAGGCCTTGAAATTGACAACAACGACAAATGAAATGAAAACAATACGCAGCAACATTGCCCGTTCCATGATCAGGCCATATACTTGGAACAGTTTCACAAACCATTTAAGAAATTTATTCATCTGTACGATTAGTAAAACCAATTGTACGGTTGATAATATTTTCATCCATTTAAACAGCTTGCCCATGTGTTTGACATTATCTGTTTTACTCCTCCGTTCAAACGGCTAAGCAAACTATTCAAATAATTTATTCACTCGTTTGAACAGATAGGCAACCGTTTGAACACTTCAAGGACTGTTCTTTAACCATTCGTCATCCATGCATTTTTATCGTTTGAACAGTTTTCCGCTACCGTCAGTTTTGCCTTTCACAGTCACAAATGCATAGAAAACAGAGTGGAGAATGTTCATACTGATATTTGGGTGCAAAGTATTCTGAGACAATCCACTCCAGAACAATTGACCTTACAATGCCAGTGTTTACAATGTTTGAGTAGATTGCCAGAGTACACAGTAAAAGACATTTTGGCAATTAAAAGAGGTGAGAGTCCAATCTTGCCCATAAAAATATACTAAATTAATTAAATTAAATACAGTATTTGGTTGTATAGAAAGCCTTCAACTAGTCTTGAGCTGTATACAAAGCAAGCAAAAAAAGTTCATATAACAAAATGTTAAAAACTAAGTCCAAACTCAGAAAGCAAGTGTCTGCATCAACTTTTAAGTCCAACACTCATGTTGATCAAAACAGGTACACACATGCGTAAAAGAATCTGCTGATCAGAAGATAGTTACAGCTATTCCAAATGAAAGCAAGTACGAAAGGCACTGTATGAAATGGCACTGGCACTGTTTTCACATACCAATAAATAAATTAAACTAAAATCCATTGATCAAGTGTAAAATTGATGTCAAAAATGGTGATGGCAAGAGAGGTTTCATGCTAGGTTGATGCTGGCAATATTTCCGCACCCTTCAATAGGGACAAAAAAAAAATTATGAAGACAACAGATTGTCTTTCTTACTACAGCCTTGTTTCAGAATATTATGAGGTTACACAGAAGTCTTTCCAGTTCTAGTTCTATCTGAAAACTATTTTGGTTTCCTTCAGACAAATAATAATCTCTACTTCAAACAAAGAGAAAACGACTCAAATCACTTAAAAATTTTTATAATGAAGCTAATTTTAAACCATGACATATAAAATCTAATGCACTACTGAAAAGTAAAATGTTCATAAAAACATGGATTAGTTAACTCTCACATATATTCACAGCTGTATTAGGCACAAGGTGTTTACACCACGATTTAATAGAATTGGCCAAAGAACAACATTGTGTTGTTACAGGAATAAACAACAGAGCCAGGAATTTAACAAGAGGATATCAAATGATCAACACATGATTCTTTTCTTCCTAACATTTTTTCTTGACAAGGATAATGATTTTTAAGTGATGTTCAGTTCACAACTACCTTTAGTATTTGTTATTCCGCCCAAGCGACGAAAGAAAATCATGAATAAAACAGTTTAGACAAGCCATCTTTGAAAATTAATTATTGTAATTAACGCGCGTTAGTAGAGCTCGATCGTTGAATGCGTACCACCATTAAACATTTAAACAAGTATGAAAAATGAAACAGACCTTCTGATTGTTGCATAGTTTGCATTCTATCTAGGCTCATGGCATATAAGTTCGTTCGTTTTTTAATAACAGTCAAACCCTCCGCCACCAAACACGATAATGAATATTTTGCATAATACACTTTCGCCTTCTAATCTTTTAGTATCCCTCGCCCATGATTAAAAAATTAGCAGGTTCTTTATCGCGTTTAGAGATTAACCGTTACCAACAAATTACATAAAATCGCTAAACAGTGACAGAAGCTATTATAAACCACAATGAATACCATTTGATGGATACAACAACATTGCATCCGAATCAAAGCAACACCAGGTCTACCGCAAAAAAAGACACAAAACACTTACATCTAGATCCAGAATCGTGCTCTGATCATCTAGCAATTGAACTTCACATTGCAACGTGCTCGACCTTCCCATTTTGGTGCAAAATGTGCGCTGCTTTGAGGTAAAAGGACAAGAGAGATAGAGTTCAACTGCGTCGAGAAGATTCGAACCCACCCCACGCCAAAACGCCTCGATTTCAATCTGTTTTGGTTCCGTTGCATTCTGGTCAGGGAAGAATCTTTTTACCGTCTTAGGTGGGTTGGGGAATGGTTAAAGACTAGTGTCCAAGCCTACTCCACGATCTGCATGCGAGGATGCCAGAAACCGGACACCAGTGAATGACAATGAGTTTGAAAGAGGTTTGCTAGGTTAGATAATCACATCAAACTATAATAGCATAAAACATGATCCATTTGGTAAAATATA